TATATATATATATATATATATATATATATATATATATATTTGTAGAGAACATGATAATCAGTCTTTGTTCTATGACCCATTAGGATCAGTGCAAAGAGAAATCCATGCTAGGTAGAGTCTCATAATCTCTAGTTCTATTTTACTGTTTTATTTTCTCAAAGACTTAGGAATGATGTTGAAGTGTAGAAATCTGCCTTAAGAGCCAGGTGTAGTGGTGAACACTTATAATCCCAGCTACTCTGTGAGGTTGAGGTAGGAGGATCACAAGTTAGAGGCCAGCCTCAACAATTTAGCATGATTTTATCTCAAAATAAAAAATAAAAAGGGCCAAGAAATCTCTCAACAACATGGTGGAGGGGCAATGAAGAGAGAGCTTTTGACACTGGATTACTTACAAAATAATTTAGATCTCTTTTTCATAAAATTGTGGATTTTTGTGTTTTAAGGAATCTTTAAAATTCTAATGTGAAAATATTTAAAAATTTAAAATATTCAAAATTTTATAATAAATAAAAATTTTAAATAAATAAGGTAAAAACAAAGGACAGTTATATATTACACAGAATTGTACATAAATACAACTGGGAATTTTTCTTTACACTTTTGAGTATGTCTCTCGGTTTTCCACTATCTCCTTTTCCATTATCTTTTTTGGGGCTGTGGAGTAGTGGGGATTGAACTGGGGACACCCAATCACTGAGTCACATTCCCAGCCCTATTTTGCATTTTGTTTAGAGACAGGGTCTCACTGGGTTACTTAGGGCCTCGCTGTTGCTGAGGCTGGCTTTGAACCTGGGATCCTCCTACCTCAGCCTCCCCAGTTGCTGSGATTACAGGCATGCATGCGCCACCTCGCCAGGCCTTTTTCATTATCTTATTAGTAATGATACCTGAAATATGCTTATTTGGTCATTTAAAAAAGCACAATTAGGGCTGGGGCTCTCGCACAGTGGCAGAGCGCTTGCCGAGCATGTGTGAGGCACTGGGTTCGATCCTCAACACCACATAAAAATAAACAAATAAAATAAAGGAATTCTATCCATCTACAACTACAAAAAAAAAAGTTAAAAAAAAAAGAACCACAGTTATACACTAACCTTAAGTATTAGGAGGGAAAGTAATGGGATCTCTATATAAATACAATAACACTTTTGTCATGAGCTATTTGAGTGCAATAAATTTTAATTGTACCAGTACTGGGAGGAAAAATATTAAAAATGAAAACAGAGAATGGTAGATTCCCTGTGACTAGAAACAATAGGACGATTCTCTACTGGAATGAAAGATTCAGTTGGCGCCCGCCCTCCTCCTTTCTCCCAGCCGCCGTTTCCCCTTTCTTTCGCGCTCTAGGCTCCCGGGAAGTCCAGCCCAAGTGTAGCTGGGCTCTGATTGGCTCCTTTGAAAGTCTACGGGTATCCTGATTGGCGGATCCAAGCCCCTTTAGCGCGGTGAGTTTGAAACTGCTCGCACTTGGCTTCAAAGCTGGCACTTAGAAGTTGAGTGTGGAGTCACAGACCAGGTACCTGCCGCCGCGGCCCCCGCCGGACCATAAGCCGGGTAGAGTTGCCGGGGTCAGGGTCATGCCTTTGGGCGTCACCTGGCAGGGGACCTCCGAGGGCGAGTTGAGAAGCGGGGTGATCGCTTGGAGTTGGGGGGGGGGGGCTGCAGGGACTGTATGAGGGCCAGGCCCGTCCTCTGAGGGTGGCAGGGCCTTCACAGGGGCTCGGGCCTGGAGTTTGAGGGAGGCTCGTGGCTGCCCTGAATTTCGGTTTGGGGCCCGGGTTAGCTGTGCTCGGGAGGAGGCTGCTGAGTTGCCCGAGGAGGCTTTGTGGACGGGGTTGAAGCAAAATCCGTGCATTGGCTTGACCGCAGTGAGCTGCGGGTACCAGGCTCGGCCCTAGGCCCGTGGGCTCCCCCTTCCCGTTCCGGCGGAGGAAGGCAAGACTAACCGCACCTGGCCAGGTGACCACGCGAGTCCCTTAAACTTGGGCTGTTGGAGAAATCGATCCGTGAATTTGTGGGCCTTCTCGGGTTCCTGTGCCGGTAGCCCTTGCCCACTGGGATATTTTAAGAATGCTTAGCCAGTCTCCAAGACAGAAGGAACTGGGGTTTTTCTTTTATTATAGTTGGTCGTTATATACTATGGAATTGGCAGAAAGGCTAAGAAATACTAAAAGACAGAAACACTTGGGTTCTTATATCCTTGACTTTTTTGTTTTTTAAAGAATCTAATACAAAAGTTACTGGTGTGCACTTCTTGCAGGCCCATAAAGACCTGGAGGTCTCTGGATAGGGAGATGCCAACATTGAGATTTCACCTCCTGCAGCTAGTAAAGCATTAAGAGCCAGGTGTAGTGGTGAACACTTTATTTTAAATAAAAAGCATGCTTTATTTTAAATTGTTAGAACCAGAAAACGGTGGGAGGGAATTGAACTCAGCTTTGAAATTGAGTTAATTTTTAGCTCTCTGTTAAAAAACCGAGCTCAACAATTTTATTGTAGTTAAGGTGTATCAAATCTGGTTGAAAGAAATGTTAATTGTCCATTGGCATTTCTGGAAGTTAGCATATGTGACCAGTGCCTGAAGTCAAACCCCCAGGGCAGCTGGTTTAATGCCTCTCACAGGGCTCATTTTAAGATTTATCTCTACTTTCTGGATTGAATTTTCTTTTTGAAGATAATGTGAGCAATCTAAATTCTTAGGGATCATTTATCAAGGTGACTATATTTTGGGCTTTTGAAGTTTCCTTGGCAAACTTACCAGCTGAAGTAGTTTTGAATGTCAGGTTGTCAGCTTTATTATCTGTGGAATTGCACTTTTCATTTTCTTTTAGGGTGCTACTCTTCACAATCTTGAATGTGTTTGTGTGGCTGTTAAAAACAAAGGAGAAGATTAAAACTGTCGCTGGAACAACTGTAAACATTTACATTTTTTTGCAGTTTTTAAACAAAATCTTATTTCTAATGGTTAAAAACCTGACCAGTTTAGTTCCCTTCTCATGTCTTTAAAACATAGTTTCTTTTGAATCATCTTCAAAAAAAGCATACAAATTCAAATAACATTGTTGAACTATTTGGAATAAATAAGTTGATGCCTGAATTTGAGGGTTAATTTGTTTTGAACAAGCTAAGTGCTGTGTAGAATATACAAATGCAGTGTTTTTTTAGGAGCTAAGAAGGGTTGGAAAATCTTATTGCAGGATTCTTTACTCTTGTAACTATTTTAATATTAATATAATATCTATGGGATACTTTATATACTGGAGAAGGCACTGTAGAAAATGCTTTCATATAGGATCTCATTAAAACTTAGTGGCATATAATCAAATTAGTGTTTCTCCTCATTTTAGGATCTGTCATACCTATTGTGTAACAATGGAAGACTACACCAAAATAGAGAAAATTGGGGAAGGTGAGTGATTTTAATAACATAAGAGCTTTAAAAAGTACTTCAACAATGCTACTTCTGTAAAGTACAAACATGTAAATTTATTAAAATACAACCATTAAGGTACCTGGTAGCACTAATGTGCATTAAATTTTTTTTTAACATAACAACTTAATGTTTACATTTCAAGAGAATTTAATATGATTTCCTGGTGATCTCCCTCATAGTCTTTTATGCTTCTGACACCAAATACTTGCAATGCTTGTGTTTTGGAAATACTTGATAACTTATTCCATATGCTTTGGGGTCTGCAGCAGAGATTAGTATATTAGTAGTATACTAATTTTGTGATATATTATTAGCCTCTTGGCAGTTATTCTAAAAACCAGTAATTTTGTATATAATCATTCATTCCCTTTACATCCTTAATATTCTTTTTAATTGCTCTGGCTTGTATAATCTTCTCATTTTGCTGCCTGGCTGGATATTGTGTGCTGCATATTGTTTTTGAAAAATTAACTTGTGGAAATAATATGAAGCCTAAATGGTGTCCTCTATACAGAATTTTCCTTCATTTCTGCCAGGAACCTTGTTCAATTTTAAGCTCGTATTGATTTTTAAGCTGCTGGGTGTGGTGGCACATGCCTGTAATCCCAGCTACTTCAGAGTCTGAGGAAGGAGGATCAAAAGTTTGAGGCCAACTTGGGGCAATTTAGCAAGAACCTGTTTCAAAAATAAAAGGCTAGGGGTGTAGCTGGTTAGTGGAGCACTTTCCTAACATGCATGAAGTCAGATTCAGTACTTAGGAGAGCTTCCCCCACCCTCCTGCCCCGCCCCCAGCCTGATTTTTAGAAAGCTTTAATTTGGAACAATTCCAAACTTATAAGTTGAAAGATTTGTATGACAAATCTGTAACATCTTTACCAAGATGTGTTTTGTCATACTTTATTATCTGTTTATTATCTTTGCATTTTTCTTTCTTTTTGATGCATTTTTAGTAAGCTGTAGAGATGTGCTTACCCCTAAACACTTTCAAAATTTTCCAAAGATCCATGGGTTAAGATCTAAGGCAGTTAATATCTTAGTCTCTGTAATCTAGAACATGTCTGCCTGCATTTTATCCCTCTTGACATTGAGGTCTTTTTTCACTTTGGACAACCTAATTTCAAAATATATCCAAACTACTCATTGCAAATACTACAAAGTTGTTATCCAGTTTCTTCTGAATTTTGTCATTCTACTCTTTGAACTCTTTCCTGTCTTAATATAATGTCATAGAGAATAAATATATTTATGATGGTAGACACCTAGTTAGAATTTAATAATGACCTCTAAATATTTGTCAAATGGAGGTTTACTGCTTACAATTCAAGGCTTCCATAACTTGATCATGTTCTACTTTATTTTTCCTTGATTTTCTGGGACAAGTCTTCTGTTAGTCTTAAACCGATCTCCTAGGCTTTTTTGAAATGTTGCTACTTTTAGAGAAATGTCCATAGGAAAATGAATTTTAATCACTTAAAATTTTTTTTTTCTCCAGGTGTGGTAGGTCATACCTATAATGCCACTGACTTGGGAGGCTGAGGGAGGAGAATCACAAGTTCTTTGTATCTGAACAAAAAAATAAAAAACTGGGGTTGTAGCTCAGTGGTAAAGTGTTCCTAGGTTCATTCCCTAGTATCAAAAAAGGAAAAAACTGGGTGATTGACTTCAGGACCTTATTGCATTCTAGGCAAAGCTCTCTACTACTGAGCTATATCCCAACTTTTATAAAATCTTATTTTGAGGCAGGGTCTCCTAAATTGCCCTTGTTGGCCTGGAACTTGTGATCCTCTTGTCTCAGCATACTAAGTAGCTAGGATTACAGGATTACTTCTAATCATTTTTTAAGTTACAATGATGTCATGGAAAGCAAAAACTCTTCAACAAAATTTATACATATCAAGGGGTTCAACACTGCCCTGAAACTCCAGCCTGTTTTTTTAAAGCACTTATCTAGGGAATTAAGTGCATCATGTGTATGAACTTTAGCTAGCTAGCCTTTATTGCCATTTCTATTCCCTGTGTCCACCTTCCCTCCCGCTCTACTATTCTTTTTATTGACATTGTTGTTCATTATCTGAAGCCCACATAATGAGAATTAGTGTTTTTTGTTAACTTCCAAATGGTATGAGATTTTCCTAGTACATAGTAGATGGTATGAGCTTTATTGGGTCTAATAAAGATTTAGTAAAAACAAATGGTCTTTTTGTCTCTTTTCTGGATGAGGACCTTGCCTCTTCCCCACCCCTTTTTTTATTGGTGCATTATATTATTGTATGTACGTATGAATATGTAACAACAAATCCCATCATTGTCTACAACTCCAGTTAATACTATTTCCTGAGTCCCAATTTTTTAAACTGTTTTATGCCTAATTTTTTTTTTCAGTCATGTAGGATATGTGGCAGGAGGTAAATTTCAGTTTGTGAACAATCCATTTCTTCTGTTGCATGTGTTGCAACATTAATGGTAGTTTAAATTTATGGAAAACTTGTGATGTCTACTTGAATTTTATTTCTAAACCATAAACGTGATAGGTTGTAATTACCCTCACTTTCCTTTAGAAAGCAATGAGGGTAAAACAACCTCCCATCTGGCCACAAAGACATTTCTATCTGGTGACGACTTAAGGAATTCAGTTATTTAAAAAATGTGTTAGGCTGGGGACATATCTTAGTGGCAGAGCACTTGCCTATCATGTGCAAGAACTTTTAGTTTGTGGGGTGTTGCATAGCAGATATTTACTTTGTCTATTTCAGGTACTTATGGAGTTGTATATAAGGGTAGACACAAAACTACAGGTCAAGTGGTAGCCATGAAGAAAATCAGACTAGAAAGTGAAGAGGAAGGGGTTCCTAGTACTGCAATTCGGGAAATTTCTCTATTAAAAGAACTTCGTCATCCAAATATAGTCAGGTATGGTATAATATCTGAATTTAAACTATTTTACCCATACTATTTCAAATGTGAATTTCAGTGTGGAATCTTTTAAATTTGCTTAGTCTCTGGTCTGACTTTGCTCAGTGGAATAAAGTCCTACTCTTTTTGTTGATTGTGCATGCTGGGCATGGGTTTAAAAAAAAAAAAAAAAAACTTGAAACAGAAATGGAGCAGGGGCCTGGCTCACCTGTAATCCCAGCTGCTTGGGAGGCTGAGATAGGAGGATCGAGAATTCAAAGCCAGCCTCAGCAACAGGGAGGTGCTAAGCTACTCAGATCCTGCCTCTAAATAAAGTAAAAATAGGGCTAGGGAATGTGGTTCAGTGGTTGAGTGCCCCTGAGTTCAATCCCCAGTCCACCCACCCACCCCCCCCCCAAAAAAAAAAAAAAAAGCAGAAATAGGCTTAAGAGCTTTGTGATGAGAATTAGTATTGGGGGCTGGAAAAGCATGATAAAGCTGGCCATAGGAGAAAAGGAGCCCTTTTCATGGAGCTTTGTCAGTGCTCCCACTCTGGGGGCTCTGGTCTCTCATTATCTCTGTCCTAAAACCAGGTACCTAGGTCAGATGAAACAGGAGGGGGAAAAAGATTATATAAGCTTTATCTGACTATGATTGGAAAAAGTGTTAGGATGTTTTCAGGAGTGGTCCTCCTATGGTTCAGCTTAGAACCTAATTGTATTTTGCTTGGGCTGGAGATAGGGAGCAGCTATTAAGGTTAGGTTTTCCTTAAGTTTATTTCTAYTTACTTAAATGGAAAGACAAGCTCTGAGCAATGAGCAGCCATCCTAGATAATACTGTGTTCTTTTGGAATATAGGTTATTTATAAATTAGTATCTCCTGTGTAAGTTGACTTAATTTTAAATTGCCCTTTCTCAAATTCTAGCTTTGCACTGAGGTTCTTTACAGAAAATAGGGGAGTTGCCATCTTCTCTAAGCCCACTTTTTATAATTAATCACTATGAAATTTACTCAACTATTTTTGTGAAACAGGTTTGCACTTTTTTTTTTTCATGTTTTTATTCTCAGCCTTCAAGATGTGCTCATGCAGGATTCCAGGTTATATCTCATCTTTGAATTCCTTTCCATGGATCTCAAGAAATACCTGGATTCTATCCCTCCTGGTCAGTTCATGGATTCTTCACTTGTTAAGGTAAGAAGCTTACTAATTTTATTAATATTTATATACTGTAAAGGTAAAGAATCTATGTAGAAATCATGGGTTTTGTCGGACTATGATTGGAAAAAGTGTTAGAAGATAGAATGAGAAAGAAAAAATATTTCATATTTTATTTATTTCCTCCTATACAGATTATTAGATAGATTAACATTTGTCTGTTTAGTTGCCAGATAATGCTTCTAGTTAGTGAAAAATGGTGTCTGAGCCTAACATAAAATTGATTTTCTCTGTGTTCTATTGTTGAAAACTAAGGCATTCTGGTCTTTCCTTAGCTGACAGATAATATAGGGAAAAAAAGCCTGGAGCAGTGTGGTAGTGGCAGATGATTCTATTTTATTCTGGTTTAAAACATTTGATTAATGTATTGTAGACATTTGTTACATATAAAGTAAAAGTGCCTTATACCAACTTTAGCAAACTGCTCCTTAGAGGCAGTAATTGTTAGTTTTAATTGTAATCTTACACATTTATGTCCACTCTGTATGTGTATGAACATGGAGCTCTTACACAAAAGGAATCATTTATATATACATTATTAATATACATTATTTGGGGTGTGAAAAGTTATTAGATGTGTTTATCTATTTGTGTCTGTTTATATTTTGCTATGCTTATTTAAACCAATTTCATATTGATGGACAGTTATTTTCCATTTTGGTGATTGTTACTCTTATGAGCAATATTGCAGTAAATATTCTTATATATATTTATCTTTGTGTTTCACCTTATAGGATAAATTCTTAGAACTGGAACTAAGTTGAAGATGGTTTGTTTACATTTAAGATCTTGGTAGATATTGCCAATTGCCCTTTAAAAATTCGTAGCAATTTACTCTGAAACATTCATGTTTAGTTGATAATCAATTATAAATAGCTTAGAGTCATTTATAAATAGCTTATTCAGAATAATAAACGACAATCTTTCTAGTAGTTTCAGTAAGTCTGTCTCTTAGCCCCTTCCCACTTCTTTGCTTTAAATTCTGCATGGATCAAATATTTATTTTGGTTTAAGAACTAGGGTACATACACCCAGCTTCCTAAATAGGTAGCCAGTTCTTATTGGTTTTATGTATTTTCCAATTTCAAAATTAAGTCATTGTTTTATATGTATACTATATATTTCTGTAATACCCATGTTGCTTCAAATGTTAATTACATTGTTCTTGGTTAATATCATATAAAACACTTCTGAACTACTAAATAGCAATTTTGTGATTGTGTCCATTTAAATACATAATCATAATATCCTCTTTGCCATTTTTTTGAATCTGTGGCTATTGGTTTCAAAGAGGAAATATATGTGTAAAGATGAAAGATAGAAATGAAAAGAACAACCTTATTCAACAGAGAAACAGTGTTGATGTAAGTGCATAGAAGGAAGATCAAGAAACTCAAAAAGAACTTGTGACTTGAAGGATAAGAGGTCCCAAAATTAGTAAAATAGGACTAAATGAGTTCATATGGATATTATCTGACTATAAATGTGCCCATAGGTGAATGTCTATCAATAAGATAGACATATATAAATGGACTTCCAGCACACAAATGCTTGTTAGTCTCAAAAGACCTGAAGGCTTTTTTGGTAAATCACTTCCCAACGTCATTATTTCTTATATCATGAAAACAAATTGGTTAATAATATTTAGAAAATTGTATTTTATAAGATTACGTTTCTAACTTATATTTCCTTTTCTAGAGTTATTTGTACCAAATCCTTCAGGGGATTGTGTTTTGTCACTCTAGAAGAGTTCTTCACAGAGACTTAAAACCTCAAAATCTATTGATTGATGACAAAGGAACAATTAAACTAGCTGATTTTGGCCTTGCCAGAGCTTTTGGGATACCTATTAGGGTATATACACATGAGGTAAGTGAGTTTTCATTATTTCTTATTAATCTCATTATTCTGGTCCAGTTATAGTTTAATTCTTTATATTAAACTTTTTCCCAAGTCACTGGTTTCTGTCTCCTAATTGGATGCTTCCTAATACACAACAAAATTGATTAAAAGATTTTGTTGTTTAAGGGGTACTATTTCTGATACACAATTCATTTAGAAGCTTTTATATATGTGTGTGTATGTATAAAAATCATGGGTTTTTTTTTTTTTTTTTTGTGTGTGTGTGTGTGTGTGTGTGTGTGTGTGTGTGTGTGTATGTGTAGTGCTGGAGGTCAAACCATGGCTTTTCTCATGCTAGGCAAGTGCTCTTCACTAAGCTACTCCTCAGCCTCCTTGTCATGTTGCCAGTGTTGTGTTGAAGGGTTGGCATTTCATTTGGTGTTTCTGGAGGGAAAGCAAAAGTTGGATTGTATAGTAAAGGACTGTTGAAAACCTGTCTTTTTGGAGTTGTATACAGTTTCACCTGAAGACTGACTGCAGATAATAACTTTCTGAATAGATGTTTTGGCTTCTTATTATTCCTTTTTATTATTTTTTCCATGACTGCATAAATAAATTATTTGGTTCTCTTTGGCTTAAATAAATGCTGTTTGAGCTCATTAGCTTTGTTCTAAGTTGATATTTCTATCATTCTGATACTAAAATGATTAATTAGTTCTAGATCATGAATAAACTAACATGGTTTATTCATGTTTCTTATTTGTATACTGTTTTAGCATGCAAGCAGAATCTTCATTTTAAAGAATAATACCTCCAAATCTATAGCAATAGGGTTTTTTGTTTTGTTTTTTGATAACCTATATCACTGGGGTTTTTTGTTGTTTGTTTTGTTTTGCTTTTTGTTACTAGGGATTGAACTCAGGGGCGTTCAACCACTGAGCCACATCACTAGCCATTTTTAAAAATATTTAGAGACAGGTCTTGCTAAGTTGCTGAGGCTGGCTTTGAACTGATGATCCTCCTGCCTCAGCTTCCCAAGCTGCTGGGATTACTGGCATATGCCACTGTGCCCAGCTATATAACTTTAAAAAAATTTTTAAAAAATAATTTTTAGTTATAGATTGACATAATACTTTTATTTATCTTTATGTGGTGCTGAAGATAGAACCCAGGGCCTCACATATGCTCAGTGAGCACTCTACCACTGAGCCACAACCCCAGCCCTATATAACAGTGTAATGACTTGAAAAGCAAGAAAAGATTTAGTATTTTTTATTTTTTTTCCCTAAAGAGTAGAACTTGAATGAAATATTTAGCTTAATTTTAATATTCTGTGTATAGTTAATTGACAAACAGTGTTATTAGTTGCAAATTTACAACATTCTAAAGGAAATTTAGGTAGTTTAATATACCACATTTATTCTGTATATTTTTTGCTTTGTAACAGGTAGTAACACTCTGGTATAGATCTCCTGAAGTATTGCTGGGGTCAGCTCGTTACTCCACTCCAGTTGACATTTGGAGTATAGGCACCATATTTGCAGAATTGGCAACTAAGAAACCACTTTTTCATGGAGATTCAGAAATTGATCAACTCTTCAGGATTTTCAGGTATTTTTATAACTAAGCTGTTAATTTTTTTAAGTAATAAATATGTATATAACAAGATAGTATTTTTGCCTTAAATGACAGTTTCCTATTTTGCTATGATTTTTTTTTTTTTTAGAGCTTTGGGCACTCCCAACAATGAAGTGTGGCCAGAAGTGGAATCTTTACAGGATTATAAGAATACATTTCCCAAGTGGAAACCAGGAAGCCTGGCATCCCATGTCAAAAACTTGGATGAAAATGGCTTGGATTTGCTCTCGGTGAGAAAGCTCTCTGTATGCTTTCAGTGGTATAGTGTAATATATAATTATACTGACTTTAACATTGATGACTGTGTATATTCAATAACATTTCTTTTACCTGGGAAATAGGAAGAAAACCAACATCTGTTGAGTTAGTTGTCTGTTACATTACTAGAACCATTTTAGCTATCAAGAAACACTAGAGAGTGGGCTGGGGGTATGGCTCAAGCGGTAGCGTACTCGCCTGGCATGCGTGCAGCCAGGGTTCGATCCTCAGCACCACATGCAAGCAAAGATGTTGTGTCCGCCGAAAACTAAAAAATAAATATTAAAAAAAAGAAACACTAGAGAAAAGAGAATTAGTTAACATGAAAGTTTCTTTTGTTTTTAATCTGATAGGTTGTTGTTCATGATCTAAAGGAGAGACTAGAGTTAACACCTTTTCGCTGTTTTTTATTTTGCATTGCTCATGCATACTAGGCAAGCACTCAACCACTGAACACACCCCAGCCCTAATTAAAGTTGTAAAGTTTTTTAAGTTGTTGAGTTGTAGTCTTCCTTTCCATCTTTTTTGTCTCAGTATTTACTACTAAGTTCCATTTTTTTGTTCATCCTAGACATTGGTGCTTTCCTTACTGCTTGATTATTTTTAGTCATTAAAGTTGTTTATAACCTGAACTCCAGTTTTTACTTTGTGCCTGGTTTTCTTCATCAGAAAGGTTAGAAGGATTAATGTAGTTCTTAATCTTTCCCCTCTGTTATATTTCTATTCCCAGTTAACAACTGTTTTCTTTTAAAACAAGACAAAAATTATTTAAAAGGCCTGCTTCCAGAAGCCTGTCTTAGAATAATATTTAAGTTTTGAATTTTTAGAATGAACCAATTTTACAAATCCCAGGTAATATGGTGCCAATAAATAAATAGTCTGGCAAGTTTAAAGAAAGAAAAACATTGCTTTGTAATGAAATAGATCTTTTAGGATGATCTTTGAGCTCCATTCGTAATATATAAATCATGCCACAAAATTTAAGCTCAGATTTCCCAGTTGTGGAGAGAAGCCCTAAGTAAGATTCTATGTAGTAGCCATAATTGACAACTTAAATAGATAATTCTTCATTACTGGAACTGTTCCGTTCATTGTAGTAGATTTAACATCACCGTTCTCTACCTTCTAGATGGGAATACAAATACGCCCATCATGACAATCAAAAAATGTCTCCAATGTTGCCAAAATTCCCCTGAGGGATAAAAATTTCCCCCAGTTGATCATGAATTAAAGTAGGATTCAAATTCCAGCTTTATTGCTTCTTAGCTCTATGAACTTGGGCAAGTTGCTAGAGTCTTTGAGTCTCAAGGGTCCGAATTACTTTTGTTGTAAGGATTAATGGACATGCTATATCCAAAGCCCTTCATATAGTGTTAGATACATAAATAAAAGAGTTCTAATGGTAACTAGTTATATACATATATATGTATGTATAATATAATATATAGTATCTAGTCTGCTTGTTCATTGGCTTTCTTTAATATTTAATATTTCTTTTAAGATAGAATTTAAGATCAATACTAAACTTTTCCAGGTAATGTGTAAAATAATTTGTATACTAGATTGCCTGATCATAATTAATTTAATGATTCATATTTAGCTGTTTATAACACATTGTGCTATGGGGTTTTCTGTTTGTTTTTGTTTTTAAATTGGGAATTTATTGGAAGCTGCATCAAAAACCACTATAGTTAATTGCCAACATTTTAAGAATGTTATAAATTACTCAGACAGCTATTTAATTCTCGAAGTAAATATAATTAACCAGATATCTTTCCTGAATTTATGTCTTGGTTTTAAAGATATCTCTGTGTCTGAACTATAATTTACAAGTTAAAAAGGTTGAGATATCTGTAATTTAAGGAGTAGGTTATTCTAGAGCTAGAGGGTAAAATATGGAGGAATGAGACATTCATGTAGCTTGATGTTAAAGTAATGAAAATGTGAATTTAGTAGATTTTCATTAACCTTATTTGCATATGGTTTATTGGTTTAAAAAAAAACTAAGGTTTTATGGAGATTTTTAAAAAATGATTTATTTTCTATTTTTTTTCTCTCCCCTACAGAAAATGTTAGTCTATGATCCTGCCAAACGAATTTCTGGCAAAATGGCACTGAATCATCCATATTTTGATGATTTGGACAATCAGATTAAGAAGATGTAGCTTTCTGACAAAAAGTGTCCATGTTATATGGAGGATGGATAGTTGTACTGTTGACTCTCTTTTTGTCTTGTATATTTTCCTTCTTATTGTAAAACTTCAGCTGTACTTCATGTTCTACTTTCAAAAGTATAACTTAAAATGTAAATATTGTTCTATATGAGTTTAAATGTAATAATTCTGTACATGTGTGTAGATCTCACTGTGACAACTCTTTGTTACTATAATAAAACTATAAAAATCTATGGATTTTAAAAATTGGGGAATATTTGAGTTAGCTTAAATCATCTCAATCCTTATAGCAACTATATTTTCCTATAGTTGGAACTGCTAAAATTTAGGAAAGTGCCAAGTTCAAATTCTATAATGCTTTGCAGTATTTTTATCCTGAATGTTTACTTTTTTTTTTTTTCTCAGTTTCTTGCCATGTGGTAACTATACAACCTGTCTAAAGATGAATATTTCTATATTGGTATTTCATTTTGTGACTTCAATGTTTAAGCATTCTGAATAAGAACACTATACAGATCTAAGAAATGAGGCTAAATTTATAGGGGTTTTCAGTAACTTATAAAACTAACATTAGAACATGCCAAAGTTTGCTAAGTTTTACAGTCAGAGATCAAGGGCTGTCCACAGCAGGGAAGAACAGTCTTGAAAATTTATGAACTATCCTATTTTTAGGTATGTTATGAAAGCAATTTTTCTAAGTGAATTCTTATGCCTTGGTCAGAGCTAATAACTGTGTATGAAGGGGAATCACTTATCTTGCCTTTCAAGTCTGACTTAAAAACTTACAAATTTCAGTAGTGATCTTTATTAACAGCCTTCTAAACAGGTTCTAATGTGTGAGTATTCAGTTGAAACCAATGACTGGTAATTAAATTGTTTCATAATGCTGCTTATTATCATTCTTATCCTATAAGTAGCCTAATTTTAATTATTTGCTATAGTCAAGGAAATGTCTATAAAAAGGTTTCTTACTCTTAGTGTACATTTATTTTCTCAATCACATTTCCTATCTTTTCTCCTTGTTATATGGCTAGAATCTGCATTCTTATGTTTTTGGTCCTTGCACCCAACCCAGTTCATTAAATATTTGATGAGTATCTATGTTTCTTTAGAAATTTCATGTTCTAGGAAAAAGTGTTGATCACCTTTGGCATTGAGACCTATGAGATTTGCAGTTTGGTTACTTTGTTCTAGGGGTTCAGTGGAAGCCAGTGTGCTGTAAAAGAACATAAAGCCTGCAGGTGGAAGTCATTTGGGGTCTAATTACAGAGTTGTTAATTTTTATGGTAGGAATTTGGTAAATGAAAACTCACACAAAAGGTATGATGGTACAATGGCATGTCTATAGTCTTGTTCTTTACCTCTGAAGTACTTAAGGCATGAACTAGATCAGTTTTCCAATTATGATCACAACCCTTTGGTGATTCAGAACCAGCATTAACCACAAACCTCCCTCCCACCTCAATGTAGAATAGAAACTATCAGTGTTTTTTCTGTGTACTTTTGTTTCAGTATATATAGTCATGATAAACATGTTTGAGGCCTTATGGATGTGGTAGAAGCAGCTTGGAATTCTACTTTTACTCCATGGAGTCTTAATTGAAAAGTCAACAGTCCATCAAATCAGAACTGCCTTCTGGACCAGGAAAATGAAATAGATGGTAAAACATTCATTGCCATAACGATTGACCTACTTTTGATCCTGCTCCAAATTCTCATATAGTTCTATGTAAACTGTCAATTTCACTGATTTGGTGAAAAGCAACTATATTAGATCTATATCTCATACATGTTCTTAAATTAGAATGTATTATGGAGTTTCCAATTAATTTAAAAATGGAGCTAAGCCAGTTGTTACATATGTTGTGTGTCAAAACACCTGGAAGCTAACATTAATACCACCCTAAACATTTTTTATTTTGAAAACTGGGAAATGCATTCCAAGAATTTGTTTTTTAAAAAGTTCCCCAAGCTGATTTTGATGAAACCAATTATCAGTTGGTGGTGAATTTGGCAACTTTGCGCCTAGTTATATCCAGTTATATTCATCTTAAAAATTCATGGCATGCAATCTTGAACTTTCTGTATTTAGTCTACTCTTTAAAAGAAGGAGATGGCTATATATATCATGTATAGTCACCAATGTGTAAGACCTTCAGATTCATGAGCATAGTACAATGATAACTGTTTTCAAGAGAAAAATCTGTATGTGCTACCCTTATTCTGTGGTGATTTTTTTAAAATACATACACAGTAATGATGCATAGAAGTTAATTCATAGTGTACAATAAAAACTAATTTATGTGGGCATTACATTTTGAGAAAATACAACTGAGTTAATAAAAAGGCCCAATTAAGTCTTAGATTAATTAGTTAAATAATATTTTAAAAGTGCTTGAAGAGAACTTAAAAGCTCTGTTGGAACAAACAAAAGAGTTGCTTTAGCAAGCTTTAGTTTATAATAAGTCGCTTTAAGTCCTATTCATGTTTAACTAGTTGCCACATTAAACATAAGGGAGGTTTCATAGGGCCATAGAATCCTGTGTTCTGAACAGAAACTAATGCTTTAAGGATGAAAGGGTAAAGATCACTAAATTAAGATACAGTTTTAAACCTATCCAATTTTCTTACCCAACTTAGATAGCATTTCCCCTATTTGGGAAACTCCAACATTATAAATAATACTAAGGGGTTCTTAATTGCTCTCTACTCCTTGTTCATAAGGATGGCAGGGACTGGATCAATCAATGTGATGATCCGGCAGTAGTAATTGGTTCAAAGGGCAAATGATTTCACAGCATCTATCTAGACCTTCTTTGATATAGAACCCTTCAAGGAATGAAATTTTCTTTTTGCCGACATTGCCAAACTGATGACAAAAACTAGAGAGCCTGAGACACTACCTCTGCTGTGGAGCCAACTTAAGTGAGAGATTCTTGGGGTATTACATTCTAAGGCCCTGGTTCTAGCCCTGCTACCATAAAATTTGAACCACCCAGTAACCAAATAAGTGAGTTATTTGGCTTGCCACAGTTTGAATTTCTGTCATTTAAACCCCTCAAGAATCCCAAACAATAGAGTTGTCAATACCAGGACAATTAGATAAATAATTTTGTAAAACAAAGTATTTTGTAATACTGGGGATTGAATCCAGGACTTTACATGCTAGGCAAACACTTTGCTACTGAGCTGCTCCCGGCTTTTTCCCCTTAAGACAGGTTCTCAGTAAGTTGCTCAGGCTGGCCTTGAAACCCTCAGTTTTAAACATCTTGTAGTTATAAATCCTTTCATAATTACATATTCTCATTTTCTTTCTTTAAAAAAAATTTAATTGCTTATAGTCTGTCATTTTTACTGCAGGTTTTCATATTGTTTGGTTATAGTGATAGACATAAATGTATTATGTGTCTGTTGACCATTCAATGGGCCTAAAAACTTTGGAGGAATAGTTGTTTATATGTGGTGCCCACTTTATTTTTGGGGGGAGGGGTCAGTCAGGAGTAGAAGTTTATAAAACACTTTTTCTACAGGTAGTTTTCTTAACCTTTTTGAATTATTTCAAAATCATGGCTATCCTTCTCTGTTAGGCAAAATGTATGTGAATTTATTTGCTAATGAATATGAGTAGTCCTTTATATTTGTAAAGAGCTTCATAGAAATTAAGTTGCATATGCTATTTCAATGTTTCCTATACTAAAAAAATACTGAAACTATAAAACCACAAGGATTATAGTGTAACATTCTTTATAATACAGAGAAAAGATACATTTCCCAACTAAACATAGCCATTTGTCTCAATGGTTCTGGTATGACAAATGTATTTATGTGCAAGAAAATGTGAATGTTTTCTTCAGGTAGTGTGTTCACTGCTTCTAGGATCCAAATGGGAAGCTGAACATTTGCTTCATCTTAAATCTTCCTAGAATCTGAACAATTTTAGAAATGCTCTTTGGCTTCTTGTTTAAAATACTTTTCATGCACAGGCACTAATGGAAAATGGCTTAGAACATAAAAAGATTGCAGTTTTCCCAGATGAGCACAAAATGTTGTTTTTAACCAGTCAATATCAATCAGAAGTCCCATTAATTGGGTGACAAATGCAATGTTTTGGGAGTTCTTAATTATCCATGCTAATAAGGGGTCATAGTGTGCAGAGGAGATCTGCCTGTGGAGTGAAGCAATCTTGGACAGGCACTGAATGGGCTGGCTCTCAGGAGGAGGCCCTTAAGAGTCTGAGTGGTTGTTTGTTTGTTTTAGGGTCATGTTAAGGAGAACGGCTGCCAGCTTCCCATTACTTTTTAAACATTTATTATTATTTTTTATGTGGTACTGAGGGTCAAACCCAGTGCCTCCCCTGAGCCACAACCCCTGCCCAAGTCTGGGATTTTTAAGGATGCTGGGTCCCTTGGTTCTTATTCTATTCTCTCATATCCCCTTAGGCAGTTTATTATCTATTTGCTTACCCCTCAGCAAATTTTCTTTTTAGGGTCATGATGACCTGGTCACAAGGGGCAAATGTGACATCACAAAACAATAGTTTGCTTAAGAGGTTATAATTAACTGGCTGAAAAAGGTTTGGCATACCATTTCCAATTTCCAGATGTTTATCTGTTTTGATAAGTTTCCCTGTGATTCCCAATCCTGAAACCTCTGGACTCTCTTTACTGCCTTCATTGTCCTTCCCCTTCCACTGTTCATTGCTGACTAGCTACCTAACAATAGCAGCTTGGATAATCCCAAAAAGCAAATACCCTTCCCCAAGACCCCCCACCTCCATGCCACTTACCTGAATTTTGGCATGCACTATACAACCACCCACTTTGGGCAATAAATCTCATTTCCTAGTTAGTGAAGTCATAAAATTTTAGAATCCAATAGTATGTTGGAAATCACTGAATTCTATCTTTATCTTCCCAATGAGGCTACAGATTAAGCAATACTAAGAAATAGAACACTTTTCTTTTTTTTTTGGTTTCAGGTTTAAAATAATTTCTATTTGGTATTTCAATCTGCTCTGATTATGAAATTAAAGTCAATAATAGAGTCCAGAAATGTATTTTAAGGTAAAATATTTAGGCAAAAAAGAATCAGTGAAGAGAAAATAGAAATCAGATTTGAGAAATTTTCTTTAAATGGGTTCTCAGTTCCTAGAAGAAGGAAGTGAAAAGGCCACCAGTGCACTGTGGACCAAGCACACTAATGATAGGCACTGGGTATATTCCCTACAAGAGCAACATTTTTCATCCTGTCCGGTCTTTCAAAGGGTAGTTGAGGATTTTACTGAGATGCCCTGCATATATTTAAATAACTACATTCTAAACAACAAACTACACAAGAGTTTAATTATGAGAATGTATCATATAACAAGAAATATACAGCAATAGTTAATATTACATATTCCTAAGGTCTCTGGCTTAGAAGTATCTCATATATATACACACATATATATATAATATATGTTACTATATACATATTTAAAAAAATGACAAGAGGGAGAGGGTGGTGGCAAAGAGCTTAACATTTTTCAAGAGCAGTATCTCTTGTTACCATATTTGGAATACTTCCTAGCAAGGCCCCAAAGCAAGGAATAAACAACAATAATTCAATGTGCCTAATGGCATAAAATAAAAGGATTATTCACAAACAGAAAACTGGACTTAGATGTTTATTTAAATATAAACAGCAACTCCTACTTTTCCTGTTATCTCCAATTATATGATGCAACATTTTTACCAGAAGTGCTTTTTAAAACAGCCTTCCAGGGAATGAATAAACAATACTATATTTGGCTAACAGCTGCTTTTGGAAAATGAGATGTCAGCAAAGCTGAATGTTGTTTAAAGAAAACTAATTATCCAGCTACCTTTGACTTGGATCAGAGTAA